CTTAAAGACACTGAGGAATAAAGCTGGTTTTATTCCTCAAATGTTCTTACAGGTCTGAAATGAATTGCAGACACTATGTTTCTGTTAAGCAGTTAACTATTTTGCCTTTCCAAAGAAAACCCTTCCACTTCTGTTTTTCTGTACTTCCAGGATATGTGAAAAGGGAGAAAAAACCCACAAGAGAGATGCAGAAACACAATACTGGAAGCATGAATTACTGGCACAAGTATTTTTTGCTACTTCTCTGAAAGTGAGAAGCCATCTTATGCTTCCTGGTGTTTGCAACCAACATGTGAGTCAATAAACCAACACAGCCTATATCGGCCATGTTTGGTGGTTGACCAAAGACTCAATAATCTGCCTGTTTATATTGCCTGCCTGGGACTGTAAGACCATTGTGCCGGTGCTGCTGCTGACATGTGCACAACACTATCTTGGTAGCTGAAAGGAAAGGGAACAAGGCTATAACGATATCTCAGCCAACCCAATTTGAGCTGCCCAATCAGCAGCACATGGCACACTGCAGTCTCCCCACCCCTGCCCCAATCAGTAAATAACTAGCACTCCTATTGCACAGACAGTGGCAGTGCTAGTGCTACTCTACCTGTTCTCACTAACTGCAGGTCAGGGAAGGAGACTGATTACTCTCAGAAATACTCCAGAGAGAGGCTATAGCACCAGAGTCCCACTGCCTACAACATGAGTTTGCGAGCACCATGCTTAACATAGAAAATAGACCTTATTGAGAGAAAATCAGAGCCTGTTAGAATAAAACCTGTGTTTGAAATGGCACCCCTAGTCATCCCTAACAACCAGAAGGTAACAAAGAATGGGGCAATGGAACAGGCCATACATATCTTCACAAGCCATCCATTAGGCAGGTACAATTAGGCAGCAACTTAAAAACAAGACAACTATGATTTTAAAATCTGCACAACAATATAGAGTGGAATCTAGATGTTTCCCTTGTGATCACAGAAAAGCTTTTGATTCAAGGGGCACCTCTGCTAAGTGATGATGAGAGAGACAATTATTGCAAATTCGCCCTTCCTCCGAAAGCTCCCTGCACTACCTTTCACTCTGGGCTGGAAGGTCTCTAAACTCTGAAGCCAATTTACAGGAGGCACTGTAGGGCTGCAGCTCCTCCTCCTTTCTTCCATTAATGCAGCTCCTCCTTTCTTCCATTAATCTGTTGGCTCAGAAGCCCTTCTGGGAGTGCAAGGGTACCTCGGCCCTCTTTTGCATACTAAACAGCCCAATCATTTGAGACCTGAAATGCTTCCATGAAAGTTTATTTTATAATATATCATCTCATGGTTACCTTCTGTTATAATGCAATGAAGATTCAACAATATTACGCAATAAATTTCATAAATTTATGCAATCCTCATAACTAAAAATTCTATCAAGAATAGAAAGGAATTAGAGTAGAGAGAGGAAATGGATATGGTAGATAGAAATGCAGATGACATACATTCATATTATTACATAAAATAATCAGTAAATCTTGTACTAATGAGAAACAAGACTTAAATGGCTGAAAAATGTATTTAGTGCATTATTGTCAATCAATGTCTCTACAACCAGGATAACAATAATCTTGAATGGCAACACACCTATTATTACAAATTCCTAACTAAGTACTTCATTACTCGCAAATGTCACTCCCAATTTACAGAGTAACAGATAAATGTCTCATTACTGTATACCTGTCTTGTGTCTACTTTTTTTTGTAAAACTGAAACACTGACAGTTCTGGAAAACTTTGTACTTCCACTTGCTCATTTAGTTTGAATGAAAGAGACATGTACGGTAATGTATAATTTTATTATTATATATTGAAAGGTACCTTTGCTAGAGTACTAAAGTATGATTGTTTTCCTATTTTTTAATCATGACGGTAAGGAATTAAAGAAGTGGAAAGTTTTTAGTATAGTGAAGCCAAATTACTAGTAAGAAAGAAATTATGAGAATACTCTCCCCATATAATAAGCTGCTTTGAACATGTGAAAGGTCGATTAAAAACATGAGATGGACTTCTGCTACAACCAAAATATTTTGTTCTATAACTTTCCCATTATTTCTATTACATTACTGTGATGTTATATGTTTCAGGCTACCAACCTTATTATTTACAATTTCCATCTTATTTTTTTTTTTTAATAAAATTTTTATTTGGTTTTCTGGTTTTATAAAGACAAAACATACACAAAGAAAAGAAAAAGACAAAAACATGTATAAAATCAACCAATCCCCGTTTCATAAACTTGTTCCCTGACTTCCCCCCACCTCCCCTCGTGCATCCCAGTTTCAAGATTATATCAGCAAGTTGGTATTTCTCCTCTTAACAATGTTATTCATCACCTTATTTTATAATAAAAATTAATTTTCCTAAGTTGGACTTAAGTTCTCTTCCATCGATTTTCATTTTATCTTAATTAAGAGTCATATTAACCAAACCTAAAATTCTTAAGAGTTTTTAAGAGTCTCTTCTTCCCTCCCTCCCATCCCCGGTTTTTGTCCCTTCCCAATAAAAGTCCAAATTCGAATTTCTCAGCCTGGGTTCCTCACGTCCGAGGCTTTCAAATCCCTTTCAGTCCCTCTCCGCCTGTCCCGTTGGTAGTCCTTTATGTCAGTCATCAAGTCTGGGAAAAGTTCTTTCACCATCAAAGTGTTTCCTCTTCCCACAAGGGGGTTCAAAAGTAACTGCTGAAGAATTTCCACAAAGCCTATCTCTTCAAGATCAAAGTCCAAACGGAGGCCCCAAGCATATTTCTTTATTTTAAATTTCTGTGTTCCATTTTGTCCCGGGACCTCCTTCTTCTTCTTCTGTATCTTTCGCAGACTTGTAGTAGATATGTTCCCAGCGTTTCCTTGCTTATGTTCCGCAGATGTCAACTTTTGGTTGTTACTTCCCAGGATTACTTCTTCTTTTTCTTGTTGTTTAGTCTCTTCCAACTCTGTAGGTATTGTTTCCCATTCAGCTGTGAATTCTTTCTCGTTGAGGTCCTCAATACAAAGAGCAGAGTTGCCTGTTCCCAAGGTCATAGTCTCAAGCTGTTTATTCATGGCCAAGCTCTGCTCTTGTAAAGTTCCCACCAATTGAAACATCCTTTCAATTTCCACCAGTAACTTTCCTTCCACAGCCATTGTATCCATTGTAGTTTCACAGAATTCCCCCTAGGGGGAATCTGGTTACTTATTAGCCTTTTCACCAACAATCCTTTCACTGATTATTATTACTTTGTTTCCAACGATTTTAGCTCAATTGTAACTCGTCTTAGTCAAGAGATGACAATTTTTGCACTTTAAACCGACCGTTTGGCAGCTTTGACAGCTGTCAAACTCCGCAGCTCTTACACAGGCACCGAGGCAGGACGTTCCCGGGCCCGGGAGGGGGGGTTGTTTGAAGCAAAAAGAAAGTTCCCAAAACTCCACTCTCCAGCCCAAAATTTCCTTTAGTTAAATCTTAGAAGTTAATGTCCTTTTTAACTCACCCCACCAGGGGTAGGCTCTCCAGCTTAGCTCTTATGCCGTTGCTTAGGTCGTCTGCAAGAGGGGGGGTGCGGACTTCCTTTTAGCACACCCCCCGATCGTCTCCAATTCAAGGTAAAATTTTTATATAGTCCCAATCCGTCTTACTCACGGGTAATTCTTTCAGTCCAAATTTTCAAGGAAGGAAGTCAGCGCTCTCTGGTCCTGGCTCGCGGCTTCACTCCACCGAGGTAGCGATCGACTCTCAGTGCCACGCCACCCCCGTATCCCCTCCGCAGCCTTTAAAAAGGCTCTTTGCGAATCAGGGGGGGCGCTTAAGGCACCCGCCGAGTCTTCAGTCCGCAGGCTTCCGTGCCTGCGGTTTTTAAGGGTCCCCGCGTCGCCGGCGCGGCAAAGACCCATCCTCAGTGGAGCCGGTTCCCTCCGGAACTCGGAGGGAATCCGCCATTTCCAGATCGCGTCAACCCGGAAGTCCATTATTTACAATTTCCATCTTATTTTTTAGCTAACCAGTGACACACTTTCTTTTTTAATCAACATTACAAAAACCAGTATGAACAGTAAATAACAGTTTTTAAATTTGCCGTTCAATACTTGTGCCTTTCCAGATGCAATAATCTTTTCTCCACATTCAGATGATTTCCTCAAGAGATAATTTCCCCCAGTACTCAAAGACAATATTTAGCCATTAGATTGCTTTTGCAAATTCAATGAAATTTCTAAGAATCACAGGTGTCTATTGGACTATGATACTAGGATCCTCCCCTCTCTCCAATCCATTACATTTTTATTTTGTGTTCTATCAGTTCTATCTTACCAGTTCATTGTTGTAGCATTTCAGTATCAAATGTTCATCTATCCCTGTTCATCTTTCCCATTTAAAATAAAGCAAACACCTGTCAAAGCTCCCTTCCCTCTGTAACATATCGTGTCATATAATGAACCTTAGCTTTTTATTTGACTTATTTAAAAGCTATATATTCATTTTTAGCACTGACGCTCACTTCTGCTCTGGCGTCTTACACGTGACGGCCGACGGACTCTGTCCGTTACATGCAGGGGTGGAGAACATTTGGCCCTTCAAATGTTGCTGAACTGCAACTTCCATCAGCTCTATCAAGCATGGCCAATGACCAGGGATGATGGGGGCTTTAGTTCAGCAACATCTGGAGGGCCAAAGGTCTCCCACACCTGTGTTAGCGCATCCTGGTATTAGCGTGACTTGATGAAAAGGACAGCAGCCGTGTCCAGTTGTACAAGAGAGCTCATTAGGTGGAACTTCTCTTACTTGTGCAGTAAAAACCTGCAAAAACTTCCTCTTTGCCCAACTATTAAAGCCACAGGAACCTTGTTTTCCTTAGCATCCGGTCGTACAATGTGCAATTGGTGCTGAATTGGGGACCGAACAGATCTAGTGCTATGAATAGAATCCAATATTTTTTAATTGTCTGGAAAGGCCTTTACTCGAAATTCACCAGATGTCTGGAGTGATGTCCAGCTCTCACCTCATCTTTTATGTCTTCCTGCTGCTGAGCACCGAAGATCTCCATTGCAGCCATCAGCCTCATCATTAGCTCATCCACTGTTGTGTTACCTAGCAACAAAGAAAGATAGCTGAACTTCATATTATTAAAGTTATTAAAAAACCAGAAAGTCATTCTAGAATTAATCCAAAAGGAATACCTAGCAGGGGTTTTTATAAGTCATAATAAGAATATGAGATGAGATTCTTAGAATATTTTCTGTTTATCAGTGGGCTGCTGCCCACAAGTTTCTAATTTTTCCAATATAATGTAAGCACAAGCATAGACGAAAGTATTTATTCTGAACTGATTGATGATGCTTTCTGTTATATTTCCTATAGGTGAAATAGGATCACTAAACAGAGAAAGAGAGGTGGTTTTTTTTTATTTCTTTCAGGTAGCTGAAAGAAGCATCTTTTAAAAAATATTGTCAAACTGATATGTAAAATTTGGGGTAGCTTCAAAGAAGAATTTGAGGGCATTAGCCCAAAACACTTTCCACAGAGTAGTTTCAATTATATCCAAATTCTTCCAGAATTGTTGTCCCTTGAAATCCTACCCTTCCTTTCACATTAGTCCAAATATTGTTAAAATCCATTCTATGGACCTGACAGGTTTTCATTCCTGGGTGGCAATAGCAATTCTCTATTCTCCAATGCAAGGTGGGCTGACGTGCAAGAAGATGGTAGCTTCACTTCTTTCCATTATTTTCCAAGTGAGATTTTGCTTGCTCTCCACAGCAATACTGGCTGCATACTGGCTGCATTTGGCATTGTGAAATTTTGAATTTCAAATGTCGACCTTTCAGAAATCAGGATGTCTTGGACAACATACACACTAAATTTAAACTTGGAAAAGCAATGCCAAGAGTACAGAGAGGGACTTTTTATATGATAAAACATCAGACTGCTATAGCTTTGGTTAGATTTGGACCCTTGTTTTGCTTTCAAATGCATGCAGGCAGACTCCTTCAGTTATGGAAATCTCAACTTGAAATCAACAACATTTCAATATTTTAAGAGTTCCAAATTAAGAATGTTGCAAGATACCTGAATTCAATGACTCAAAACATAAAGGGCTCTGGCCTGGTTATAACATCTCTTCATCCCATTTAATTTTCACAATAATGCTATAGGGCAAGCTAATATGGGACATGATAGCTTGCCCAAAGTCTTTAAGACTGAGACCCTATATGTAGACTTACCTGGACAGAAATCCCATTGAAGACAAGGAAGCTTATATCTGAGTGGATATGCACAAGAATGCTCTAATCCTAAGAACACTTACTGGAGAGTACTTTTGTAGTAAAATCCTATGCATGTTTACTTAAATCAGCCTCAATGCTGGAAATCTGAAAGGAGATCTATTCCAACAACGAACTTGAATTCCTGTTTCTAAAGCTCTAGCTACAGAAAACTTATCATTCACAGTCTGTCAGTTGTTTTCATTTTTGTATACTTGCTGGTAAGCATGAAAAATAAAAGCCATTTGTCACTATTTACAATATACTCCTCTTCATTATTCGAGATGCAAAGAGTAAGAAAATCAGTTTTGGCCGCAGTAAATGCAAATGAGTATAGTATAAATGCACTGCACTTTACATTTCACTAAGAGGTACTTTCTGAACTAAAGAAGATAAACTATATTCTAGAGAGGACCAGCAGCAAATTAACATGGAAATTTCAAGAAGGAACATATGCCCAATAGAACAAAAAAACGGTACCTTGTATTACATTCAGCACCTCATTCGATGATCGTTTCCCCATAATAATCAGGAAAAGTGGAAACTGATCTGTTTTCTGAGTTCGAATAGTTTGAGCTACAACGCTACCAAAGTGTCTCGTGCACATCGTTAGAAACCTGGAAAACAGAAACATTTAAAGGGGGATGGAAATTTTGTAAAGCAATGTCCACTTTATTAAAGAAAAGAAAGGTTATTAGATTTTGACTAAATTAGCAAGTTTCAAAAGTCCTGCTTGTTCACTTTGTAACCATATCATTGCCAATATTCCCATTTATCAATATTTATCAAAGTCAACATTCCCATTTATCATATTCAGAGCTATCAAATTCCATCCTGCAGCAAGTTGGTTCTCATACTGAAGAAAATGAATACCACATTTTAAAATAATGAATGCACCAATGCAAACTATTTTTTCCCTGAACAGAAGAGAATGGAATTAGTCACAATCCAAAGAAAGACCAAGGCCAGCCCAAGACATTTCGAGGTTTAAATAGCATGTTCTACCCTGCAATGTGATGTAGAACCAGATGCTCTGTAGTACAACAAACTCAAAGGTTGTAGTATATTTTAACAGGCCTCCTGATGATGAAATCTGTAGTTTATTTTTCTGTTATCACAAATATATAAAACAATTGAGGGCTCTCAAATATGCAAAGAGGAATGAGAATTTTGGTTATCCTGTTGCAGCAATCCCAAGGCCAGATAAAACAAACTTTTTAGCAGGGGCAGTGTGCCTTGGCATTCACGATTAAAGTGGTTAACAGGTTAATAAATATGGGGTCTATCTGCTCCAAAGGCATTGCTAAAATAAAGAACAAATAAGAGAAAAATGGGGGAGGTGAGAGAGTGCTAAATGATAGGAATAAATTCTACTCCAATAATATATCTCCATATGCTTTAACATCTGGGGAAGCATGTCTACAATACATTCTCCTTTCATTCACTGCCAAGGCAAGCATGGACTTCTGTCACATTCATGTCTGGTGGAATTCTCAACTTTCAGACCATTAACACTAATCATATGGCTGTTAACAGCACTTAGAACATTTAGAGCAAGCACTTAGAATGCATACACATCACACCATTTTACTATTACCTACAATAATTGTCTTGAGAGGCTTCTGGAAGTGCTGCAATGGACGGAGGAAGAAAAGTGATGATGAGTGGGGTCTAGGGAAGTTTTCCTTCTATTTTTGGGTCCCGAGCTCTGGTGTGAGACAACTGACATACGCCACAGGGTGGGACAAAAAAACCTCCTATCTTTTGGTAGCTTGGAAGCCAAAGCAGGACATCTGGGATTGGGATCAGAAGCCTTTCATGGAGTTTAACAAAACAATCAAACAAAAATTCGAATATCCTCCAATACATATTAAGACACTAAAAACACTGCATCAAATTGCAATCACAAACTTTATCAATACAGTAGCAACAACATATCTGTTGGATTCCAGGTAATATTTAACCTCAAAGACTCAGAGGAAAAAATGCATGGTCAATTGGCTTTGGAAAACCGACAATAAGAGGGACAAGTTAATCCCTACAGGGAGAGAGTTCCACACCTGGGGTGTGACGACAGAGAAGACACCATATGAGGGTAACCTCTGCTTCACTGCATCTCCTGAAGTATTTTTGAACAAATCTTTCAAGAGTCCAACAGAATTTCAACACTGACTTTCGTTGAAATTTCTAAAAATGAATGAAACTGACTGAAGTACCACTTCCTGGGATTTCAGAAGTGCTAGAATCAGTTTCCTTAAGATAAGTCTCTTACTCAGGCAGAAAAAAATAGATCTACTTAGAATTCTGCATGCTGTTTATAATTTTCAAACACAAAACATTTAACCATGTTTTGAGCACCAAGCTCCACCTGTTTACCAAGAGCAGGAAAGATAGAGAAAGCAGTTATGATTTCAGTAATATCCTCACACTTACTTGGAAGTAAGCCCCATTGATTGGGTCATATACAAGGTAACTGGTATCTCAGTTACAACTGCTACATATGCACCGGAATAAACTACAAGGCTCAAAGTAATGTAATGATGCCTTTTAGTTGAATCTTTAGATGCTGAATTTGTCATCAAGACACAACATACAGTACCATCCTGAATGGTTGTGTGCGCTGGTATTGTTGCATGAAGTTGTGTGGATAACTATGAACACACCAAAACATTAGGGCTCAAAACAACATGGAATGGCACCAGAAATCTATCATTTGTGACATCTCACTTCACAGAAACACCACTTCTGAAATTACCATGGCTCTGTCACACTGTATTGAATGGATAATTGAACTCATCCCAAAAGAACTCTAGCAAACCTAACTTTTGCTGTACTTCACATGACTATACAAATGACTATACACATGACTATACAAATCTGCAAGTATTGTGTATTGTACCCTTTACTAGGTATCAGCAACTAAACTTAAGAGCTTCAGAGTAAAATACAAATCTAGAAAAAATAAATGCCAACAGAATAAAAGTTGGGGACTTATTTAATTATGAAATACATATACTGCTTTATACCTAGAGATAATATTTTAATATAAAATTTGTAAGTTCAATTAGTAGCAATAAAAATCAATGACTTTTACTCAAGAGTTATGCTTCTGGATATAGTACTAGCCTTCTTCACTTTCATACTTACTAGTGCAGTCTTAAAACAATAATTCTAAGCTTTTGGCCAAAAAAATGCCTTCATCCATTAGCATACTGAAGTCTGGCATTAGTATTCTTAACACGATCCTGAATAAATGAAAAAACTGATAAAGCTTTTCTCTTCCATTAGAGGACTGTTTGAAATTAGCATTTCTTTCAAGAGAAAAGGGTAGCTTATGATATGTTTTCAGATCTGATGGTAAAAAGTAAATGTCATAATAATAATGAATTATGAAAGACCAAATGCAAATATAGAATGCTTTAATAAGATCCAATTTAATAAAGTCTGTAAAAATAATGGACTTTTAATAACACAGGTCACAAAAGGCAAAACAGTGGAAATTCTGAGGACTAGCCACTGGTACAGGCTTATTAATTCTTAATTATGTTCATGAAAGGCAACTTAAATCATGTGTTTTCTTATGCCTTATGATAATATTTTAGGTAACAACTGATCTTGAAATGTATGCACTATCTGATGAGCAAAGTCCTGTTGTCTCATGCATTAGAAGGTAAATCTATTTGAAAAGACAAGCGGCATTAAAATGTCACAGGCTGAGAAGCATTTGATATCAAAATCCAAAACAGAATCACGACACTTCGCTTTCCTATCAGCGGGAAAAATCTCAACATCTACACTTCAGAAACCTAGAATGACAAATAATGGAAGTCAAAACTAGGCTTGCTGTTGAGAGCTGCTAAAAGTCTGAAAACAAATTAGACTCAACTTTGAATCTCCACTGGCCTCGTTTCAGTAGAATATATAAACTTAAGATGGAAGCCATGGAACACATTTGTTTATTAAGGGTAAAATTAAAAAAATATTTCAGACTAATGGAAGTGCGTGCGGCATCATCATTTGAATGCATCATCAGGCTCCTAGCACTGAATGGAAACTAGAGGGTTGTGATGCCAGAGACTCTCTGATGTTACTAGTGGGTGGTGTTTGGCAGCTGCAGAGACTTTCAGGGTAGTTTGCATTGTGCAAGCTCTATGCTCCTGGAAGAGGACAGTCAGATGGAAGATGTCCTTGGGCTGCGCTTTAAGCAAAATTACTCAAGAAGACAAGCTGCTCCAAACTTGAGGATACAGAGAGGACAAATGGGGGGGGGGATCTGCACTGGATATAACTTTGCTCTAATTGTGCCATTCAATTGATAGCGTTCTGGCCCAGTCTGCGCACCATGGTAACCCAAACTCCTGCTTTGCTTCTCCCCTATGGCAAACAGGAGCAACAAACCACAATTGCTGGCTTACTGTTACATCTGAACTAGGGACTGTAGTTGACTTTGATCCAACATGAAGCCAAGATTTGTTCTCGGCTTACCAATTGTGGTGGGTATGGATCAAATGAACGACAATCCCAATTTGGAGGCCTTGTTGCTGGTGCTACCTCTGGCTTCTGCTTGGTTGGTGTTAACCCGTGACATGGCTTTTTTGGTAGTGGCTCCCCATTTTTAGAATAGCCTCCTTGGTGAGGTGTTATTGTCTCCTTCATTATTGACTCATGCAAAATTTAAAGACATTCCTGTTTACCCAAGCATATGATGGCTATGAGCTACTGGCCATGGCAACCTTGCAATTAGTAACTGTGAAGCTATGTGATTGTTTTTAAAAGTTTTCAGTGGTTTTAAAATGTTTTAAATATGTTTTTAATTTATCTTAAGTTGTTTTGTTTGAATATTTGAATATTTGCTGCTCTGGGATCCTTTGGGAGGAAAAGTGGCATACAAATAAATAAAATACACTAAGCCAAGGATTGTGGTTTGCTGCTCCCGCTAGGAGAGGAGTGAAGCAGGTGCAATCTCACATTGGCTGTAAACAATCAACTATGGTTTACCATGATATAGAAACTGAACCAGTGATTTATTACCACAACCAAATTTAAATTCTAAAGAAATTAATCTTAAGCATCAATCTGGTAAAACCAATTTGATGAGCCATGACCTGAAGGTCAGTTCTAGAATTATTTAAGGTCAATCAAATCAGCCCCTTGAAGATAAGAGACAATATATGCTGACCTATCTGCTGGGTGTTGTTTGTTTTTTTTAAAGATAAAGCTTAAAAGTATCTTTCCTCATAGAAGAGATGCTTTAGTGTCTTTCCAAAGCAAAAAGAATACTTGTTGAATATTAAACACCTAAGACATGTAATTATTTAACATTATTAATTTTATACTCTGCAAAGTCAACACAAGTCTCATTAAAATGTTAATTTAAGAATAACATTTTATGTATTAATATTTAAATTTTAAATGTAAAACTGAAGGATGTGATATGTAATATTTAAACAGGGTATCTATGCATGATTGTCTTAGTACAGTCTGCATGTAAACCACTTAACCCCAACTTTCTTTAACGACAATTGCTATTTTTTACTGGGCTCACACCATTTCTTGCTACATCTTTCTGCAGGCAATGACACTTTTATTGCAATCAGTCCAGTCAACACTAAACTAA